TTGGAGCGCCATACTGCGTGCTCGGGGCTTTGATGGCGGCTTTCGTCACTTTTGGCGACGGGGATATCCTGATGGGCATCCACATGAGCCTGCAGAGCTTCCTGATTGCCTGCCCACTTTGGCACACATTGAGTGCATCTTTGCCACGTTCCACAAGCGCTTTGAAGCCTTTGAGTCTTGGCACATACGGCAGCGTTGCCGACTCCTCAAGCAGAAGCATGATGCCACTATGTCAGGCCTCTATGGTGAGCTCCGCAAAGTGCCTAAGTTAAAACCTGACCTTCTCTGGCTTGATCACTACTACACGGTTCTCGGCATGGACGCACCCACCTGCGCCCTGCACTTGGATCGCCCTTTGGAGCTGGCCGGCCGATCTACTTGGACACTCAATGGGTGCCGTATTTTTGTGCTGGACTCTGAAGACGATACTTGTATTGTGAGCCATTTGCCGCCATTGACTCCTGGCGATGAACTGCATCAACATCAGGTTCTTTCACAGATTGATGAGGTGCATTCTGCTTTCGTGGATTTTTGGAGGCCGCGCTGGAATGCATACAAAGATGTCTCTGCTACCGACTGGGCCCGCATTACGACTTTTGCGCAGGCTCACATGAGAGCTCTGTCATTGCAGCTTCCGCCCATTGACCATGATAGCTGGCACCGCAATCTGCGGCGCTACAAACCTACAGCCGCGCGCGGGGTTGATGGCCTCTCTCATTTGGACCTCGTCAACATGCCCCCGCAGCTGGTGAAACAGGTTCTTGACCTGCTGGATAGAGTTGAAGGAGGTGAGCCCTGGCCTCAGCAGACCTGCTTCGGAGTGGTTGAAGCCTTGGCCAAAGTTGATGGAGCACATGAGGTTTCTACCTTCCGCCCTATTGTTGTGCTGAGTTTGCTGTATAGAACATGGGGTTCAATCCGCAGTCGACAACTCCTGGCACGTTTGACGCCACATCTGCCTGATGGTCAAATTGGATTTGTCCCGGGTCAGGAAGCGATGAATATCTGGGCACTTGGGACTGCGATGGTTGATCTTAGTTGCCAAGGCGGGGTTGCACTTTGCGGCTTGAGCTCCGTTTTGGTGCGTGCCTTCAACTGCATCCCACGTACGAGAGCCACTGCTCTGGTTGGCATCCTTTCTTGGAATCCCTGACGTTGTGGTTACACCTTGGCGGAACTATTTGAACAGCTTCAGCCGCTCCTTTATGATCCGTGGAGCGCTCAGCGAGGCTTCTCTAAGCACCGTTGGCCTTCCTGAGGGTTGTGCTCTTTCAGTTCTCGGGATGTGCTTGCTGGACAATATGTGGCATTGCTATCAAGCAGTTCTCTGTCCTGGCATCAGAGCTTTCTCCTATGTGGACAACCTTGGGCTCACAGCTCGCGATGCTGGTATGTTGGCTCTGGGCTTTGCTTCTATGCAGGATTTCTTTACTCTCTGGCACATGGAGATTGACTTGGACAAGTCTTATTGTTGGGCCACTGATGCTGTCTCTCGCCGGTCACTGTCTGCGTTTCCTATGAAGGCTGTTACACATAGCAGTGAACTTGGCGGCTCCCTTACTTTTGGCATGAAGCCTAGTGTTGCTGATCTCAAGGCACGCGTGCAGCGACTGGGCAGGAAGTGGGCAATCCTGGCGCGCTCTATGGCCTCTCAGTACCAGAAGCTTACTGCCTTGGCTGCTTCATTCTGGCCCGAGGGATTGCACGGTGCGCTGGCTTGTCGCTTTGCACTTCATCACCTAGATGGACTTCGTCGTCGCGCTGCACATGCACTGGGGTGGAAGCTTGCCGGTTCCTCGCCGGCTATGCGTTTCCTGTTCTGCCCTATGCCGTTTGCAGATCCGCTACTCTGGCACCACAAAACGGTCTTGCAGGGCTTCCGACGCCTTTGTGCATCCTCTGAAGACTTTGTGGCACAGTGGAGGCTGTTCTGGCACAACTATGATGGTGCGCTTTACTCTGGACCATATTCTAAGCTGTTGGACCTATGTGCACATGTGGGTTGGCATTTTGAGGCTGAATTTTGGTTGAGAGACCACCGTGGACATCGATGGCATCTTTTGTTTACCCCTTGGGCTCTGGTTGAGGAGCTGCTCTGGGACGCCTGGGCTCGCTTGGTCTCACTGCAGTTTCGGCGACGGAAGACTGCTCGAGACCTACGTGACCTTGACCCTTGGCTTCACAAAGCTTTTCCTGCATCACTCAATGCCCTGGACAGAGCTCGCCTCTCGGCTTTACAAAGTGGATGTTTTGTTGATGCGGCCCAACACGGCCGCTACGACCCTAGCCAAGACAGGCACTGCCATGCCTGCGGAGTCTTGGACTCTGTTGATCACTGGTTTAGTTGCCCCCGGTTTTCCAGTTTGAAGGGAGAGATGGATGCTGCTGGTGACGACCCTGGCCAGTGGCCCTCGTGTTTCCGGAACCACCTGCTTGTTTCTAGAGACCCCCTGGTTGATGAACTGGAAACCTACTTTTTGCAGCTGGACCCGCGGGTAGATGACTTTCAGCGGCTGCCTGATCAAGACGTGCATCACGTCTTCACAGATGGCTCCGCTACCAAGCACAAGGGCTCGCGGCTGCGCCATGCAGCTTGGGCTGTGGTGGATGCTACATCCGGCGCCACGATCGCCGGAGGACCTTTAGCTGGTAGACTTCAGACGATTGGGCGAGCAGAGCTTTCTGCGGTGCTCAGCGCCGTTGTGTGGGGCTCGGCCGGGACACTCAGAGAGTTGCACATATGGAGCGATTCTCAACATGTGGTGACTGGAGCTTGCTTTCTCCTTTGTCACCATCGAGTACCGCCCTCATGGACCAACCGTGACCTTTGGCAGCAGTTGTTGCAAGTGCAAGAGCTTTACTCCATGGATTCCCTTTACTACCACTGGGTACCCTCGCATTTGGACCCCAATCTGTGCACCTCTCCTTTCGAGAGTTGGGTGGCGCACTGGAACGCGATGGCCGATAAGAATGCGGTTTTCTCAAAAGGTCAGAGCTCCACTTGCACCTGCTGACGACCACGCTGCCGCTCCAGCTGGAGACACACTTTGCCGGCTGCTGGCAGTGAGAGATTGGGCTACGGGAGAACATAGCTTCCCCCTCTTTTCGCATGTTGTTAAGGGCTGGATTTCACACCACTGTACACTTGATGCCCAGCCCCGACTGTATAGTATGGCACATTTGGAGCCAATCCCTTTTCCGGTTCCGGGTGATGGACGATCTCGTCTTTCGATGGTACGGGACCTCTTTCAACGACCAACGGTCACCAACTTTTAGTTCCCCTTCGGACCACGATCTCTGAGCTTTGTGAGGCTTTTGATGTGGAGGTTTTTACTTTGGACGGTCAGAGTATGTTGGATTTGGGTGTTTTTGTCCGTTGTTCTGGAATCTGGCTTCGGCTGCCAGATTCATTCAGAGATCGATGTCACGCAGCCATTTGTCAGTGGACGGCTGCACGAAAGGTCCGCAGGACTGCCGGCCTTGCTCGGCCTTTTCTTTGCTGAGGGCTTGGACAGGACTTGACGCGCGCTGCTCCGCTCACGCCGAGCACACGTGACCGACCGCACGTCCGAGATAATCCCCTCTAAAGTGCTAACGTGTCTTGTTGAAACTTTCTGGTTGACTGACCCTTCACTTCATGCCGTTGAATCAAGTCAAGTGCTATGTATTCACCTAAAGGGCTAACGCACTGGGAGATCATAACTGATTTAGCTCTTGCGAGCCTTTATCTAAGTGTGTCCGTGTGTGCGTGGGTGTGTGTGTGTGAGTCGTTGTTTGTTGTTTGTTGTCTTGTTTGTCATCGGAGTGGGTTGTCCTTTGCGGCTACGTTTGGTTTGGTGTTGTCCTATTTTGTATTGTATTGATTTGATTTGATTTGTCTCATTGTTTGTTGTCGGCTGGCTGTAACTTTTGGGGAGGACCAGCTTCTGGCATGCCGCGCGTCTGGAGCTGTTCTCAGGACAAACTGCATGCAGAGCTGAGGTTCTTTCGATGGCCTCCAGCCTACTGGCGATGGCCTCCAACCTACTAGCGATCCACTTTGTGTTGTATTGTGTCATGGTTTCTTGTCTGTTGTCGTGTTGCCTGAGCTTGTGGTTGGTGTTGTCAGTGTGTTTTGATTGTGTTGTCAGTGGGGGAGTACCTCAGTCATAGCGCCACGTGTGCCAATCATTTGGCTGGAATAGGAAGCTTGAATATTTTATTGGTTTCTCCATCGTGCAGTGGAGAGGTGAACAAGGGAGTCCTAATTTGTGTTTTTGTCGGATTCCTCTATTTTTTTTGTGCACCGTTGCTTTCGGTTCTTTGTTGAACTTTCTTTGTTCTTGCTTCATTTTGAGCGGGTTTTGCTCTTATGCTTGTGCTTGGTGGGTGCTTTCCTGCATTTGCTGCCTTGTTTTACGTTCTGGGGGCTCTTGTGTTCGTGTGCCAGTTTTTGGTACATTTGGTGTTTTCTCTTTGTTTGTGATAGGTGTGATAGGGGCAAACGCCCTTTGTGCAGTCCATGGTGGCAAGGAAGGACGGGCCGAATAAAGCAAGCAATATGACAGAACGAAGTGCTGAAAACGTTTTGATCATTTTGCTGGGCTTGCTCTTCAACCTGAGCAATGCAAAACCGACCTCCAAAGGCTGCGGCTGCAAATATAAGAGAAAACCACACGCAGCTACGCTGGACATGAGGCCCGCAAGACATGGAACATCGCCAGCAGAAGTTCAAACCCCGTGAAAATGAAACACCATACCACCCGATTCAGTAAACTGAACAATGCTGATACTGCCGCATGGAAGGATGACCTAAGTGGAGAGCGTCGTTTGATGATAGTATCTGAGCCAACAAAATCTCGGTCGGACCAACTGAAAGAACAGAATCGCAGGAAGGAGGCAGACAAACTCGAACAGTCAGTGGCTTTCATATTGGTATCTTCAGGATGCTCTTCTTTTCGGCTGAAGCACTCTACTCTGACCTGATTCGTTGGGACATGCCAAACGTGCATGGAACCAAGGTTTTGGCATGGTGCCTATGGAGCCTCCATTGGAAGCACCCTCTTCTACTACGTCACCTATGTTCTTCGCCTAGGTGGCTGGGAGAGGATGCAGGTGCCTAGTCCGCACAATTTTGTTTGCAAACGGATTTCACATACTCTTCTCTGTCATGAAACTTAGTACGACTGTGCACCTTTTCGCAGTTCAAACGTATCGTTACCAAGTCTTCCTTAAGTTGGTTGTGTATTTGACGCGCTCCGTGCAGGTCATTGTGGCTGGGGGATTGATAGCAGGTGTTACGGAGGTGGGTCTGAACTTGATGTACATGCGGATCTTCAGCGCCGGTGATGGCAGGCGCAATGATGCATGTTGGGTTTGCTGGGTTAAGGTCAAGAAAGTCTTGTGTTTTGCCAGGCTGTTCACCGCAACTCAGATGTGAGGGCGTTCGCTGCATCTATATATGAGTGTAAGAATCCATGAGCTGTATACATGCTTGCTTGCTGTACATGTGCGTGTCGGCTTTAGCCCTCTTGCCCAGTGCTGTTTAAGTGTTTCCTCTACATGAGATTTCCATCCAGGCAAGATACAACTGGAACCAAAGACAGGCGGTTGCTCAACTATGTGGTCTTTTGTCGCATCTTGATGCAAGCAGATGGGCTTGAGCACTGGGACGTATATACCAAAAGAAGCGGCTTGAAGAAACTCCAAATTTTTGCAACAGGAAGCCACGCAGCATGAGATCGACTGCTTTCTGCTTCTTCGTTTTTGCTATGAATGTAGGCCCGCACGGTATCGCCTGCTGCTAAGGAATATTGAACGCTTTGGCCACATTTTTGCTCATGGGCTGGGTGGATCCCTCTGTCACCATGGCCTGTTGGATGCAGATGGCGGAGGCATGTGATTTCTTAGCGATTTTTTGTGCGGACCAGCGGTCAAGAATGTGATGGGTGGTCCTACACGCTTGCAAGCTAAAAGGTTTGAAGTGAGGTTGGTGTAGGCCAAAATGTAATGGATCATCTTGTGCTGCATGATAGAAGCCTCAGCAAGCCGTAGCGCATCCTAAGGTTTTTCTGTGGGCATTTACCACCAGGCTCGGCTTGTCGAGCTTTTCGTTCTGGCCACTTGGAGGCAGCCAGTAGGAGAACGGAAGACGCTCTCAAATTAGAACAGCTGAATGGTGCGCCCATTGGTGGCACTTGGTCTATGCATGTCTATGCAAATCAGTATGCCTTCCCGGTTACTTTTGCTTTAGTGGGTGATGATGCTTTTGAATAGGTCTTCTTGCGTTCTAGAAGGCTGATTGCTTTATCAATTGTGTGTTTGTTTTGGGCCTTGGCAACCACGGAAATGGGCGAAAAAGCAAAGCTCACAAGCACTTCCAAGGCGTGTCTCTGCCCAGTGTTGGCTTGTGGATGAGGACTGCATCTTTGGCGCAGTGCCGGGAAGGAAACGACAAGGCGCGGTTGGCCACACGGCCGTCCCTTCGGTTTTTACACACTGCCAGGGTCTTCGGCCACAGTAAAGGTCTGAAACGAGCAGATTCCGGAGCAGGTTCCGGACGCTGTTGTTTTTTTCTCTCCTCCTTGAGCTTATTAGAATGCAGTTTGTGAGGTCCTAATGTCTCCTATGTAGAATCGACCTGACTGAAGCAAATCAGAGCTAAACAGAACAACAACAGGCCAACTACGGTAGCCCTTTTCGCCACCCACCTGCGGTAGCAAAGCAAGCCTTCTGCGGCTGGTGCCTTCAACCAGCACGGACGCTCATTCTGCATTTTGCTAACAATTTCCGTGCCGGAGGTATCATCTTTGGAGCCCTTGCGATGACGCAGAACTTTGCAGGCATGCCAAAACCGGCATGTGGTACTTGCATCATACACACTGCAAGTTGTAGAGCCTAAATGACCCAAGACAGACTGAGGGCCTGCCAATTCAGTCTATCTGGAAAAAAGGGTTGCCGTATGTTGCCGTAGTCTTTCCTCTTCGGGCTGGTAGCTTCCTTTCAGTTATGAAGGTGCCTTCTTCTCATCGTTGACCTTTCTTGGATTGGGCCTTGCGGGGCTCGAGACGGTGAACTGCGAGGCATGAGCCCATGCTATCATATCATATGATAGGAGATGCTACTGGATTGTTGATGTTGCCGCGTGTTGGCGGACTAGACTATTCAATAGACTCAATTAATAGACTGAGGAACGCAAGCCTATCAACAACTCAGTAGGTCATGAAGTGACTTTGGCGCATTTTCAAGCGACTCTCTTGGGTTGTCACGAGGGCAATGACTTTGTTCAAAGGAGTTTTGCAGTTCCACAACGCATTGTGCCTGAAACCGGCATCGTACCTTCCTTGCACACTCATGTGCCAGGCGCGATGCAAACATCTCGTAGACAAAGTTGTGGACACCACTGGCGTGGTTTCTGCCGCTGGCCTGGAAGAGGCATGCCACGAATGATCTGGTCTCATGAGACCTGCCTTCTTTGAGGCTTGAGGTCTCGCTACCCTTGTGTCAAGAACCTTTGAAATTTAAGGCTTCAAGCGACTCAAGTGGCAAAAAATTCTGGAAGTTCTGTAGCTGGGTCATAGGTGGAGGGCTGAGCTGAGGAATGTGTGGATGAGTGCTTCTTGGGCGTCATTGCGCAGCAGCCAGATTCTCTCCGTTCTTTGGAATGCAGTTCGTCCAAGACCCTACCAGAACCCGGGACAATCTTGAATTCACTTGCCGAGCCATCAGAGCCGCACTGACTTTGCCATTTCAGAGTACTCATGGCTGTAGCTGTCACAGCCTTGAATTTGCCCAGTGCCCCCAAGAATCACATGGTTTGCCAGTGGCTCAGGCCTTTATGTCCGTGCAGTGCCCCTTGGCAGCCAAATCGGTCTTATATATATATATATATAGATTCCCAGATCATTCATTGTATTTGGTTGTTGTTTGGCAGGATCGGAATGTGGGCTCCCATTTGCGAGCTGCTCATTGCCTTCCATGCCTTTAAATTTCCCATCAAAGGTGCCAGGCCGGACCTGACGGACAACGAAAAGCGACCTGCTTTTGAGCGCTGTTGAGCCCTGGTGAAAGCTTCCGATGTGGAGTCTTTTGCTTGTGTTGCCCAAGTTTGGAGCCTGCAGTGAGTGTGATACTATCCAGGCTTCGTCGCCTCTATGCTGGTATTTGCCAAAGTCGCGGGGAGGCTGGATCAACCCGTGCTTCTGTGGACTCTTGGGGTTTGACATGGCTGTGGCCAAGTTGTGGCATGTTGTGGCGGCTTTCCAGATCCAGGGCTGATGACCCAGAATGCGTCAGATTGCATTTGCCATTTGGGGAGTTTTCTTTCTTTTATCCTTGGGCTATTGTGAGTGGAACCTGCGAGACCTGCGAGACCTGCAAGACTTGCAAGAACTAGAATCACTACAGAAACCTTGGCAGCTTCATTTGTCCAGGAGATCACCCCTAAACGGGAAGAAACTGGAACGCCGCACACTGGGCGTTCCAAGATCGTCCTGAGCGTCGAGGCCTGGTTGGCTGGCGTCATAAGGCGAAGGGCGAATAGGTATGGCCCGCCTCCCTTTCTGCCCTGCGCTTTTCTGCCCTGCCGGAATTTCCAAAAAAAGCGTTCTTTGTGCGAGCCATGTTTGCAAGAGACCAGTGCCTTCATTGAAGGCCAAGCGAACAAGCAAGTACAGTAGCAGCAAGGGAGCATGCAGCTTCATGCCCAGGCCACCAAGAGCGTGCAGAGCAGCAGCGGGCGAATACAGCGTCAAAACACTGAGAAGGAGGGCTTGCTATGGAGGATTGGGCTGTGAATTCAACGGTGTTGATCACCAACTGAAAGAAGGGTTGTTTCAGATTGTTTCCTGGGATCGGCATGAGCATAAGGCTGTGTGAATGCAGGTTAGCACATACAACCGCCATGGTGGAGTCCTGGCCTGGCGCCAAATCACTCTCTGTGTTCTTCGATGTGAACGAGGCCAGGATCATCGGATCCTTTTTATTTCCAAATGCGTAGCGAAGGGTTCTCGTTTAACTCTGAGGGTCTGGGGGTAGTCTTGTTCGCGACTCGTTGTCGTAGCGTTCGCGACCGTTGTCAGATACAACAGCGCCCCACAAGAGCATCCCACAAGAGTGTCCCACAAGTGAGTCCCACAGAAGTGTCCCACAAGAGTGCCCCACAATGTTTCGCAATGTTTGGCCGTTTGTTTTTCAGTGCATGTGTCCATTCGGGTTCGTGGGTTCCATTTTGTTCCCCCCTCCCACCCTTTGGAACCTGGATGCTTGATGATGTTTTTATATTCATGCCATATGACAACTCTAGTTTCTTCGTGTTTTTAAGTGCTTAATTTGCAGAAGAGCATTTCATTTGTTCATGCTCTTCTCATCCTGTCGTTTTTTGTTTGTCTTGGCTCATTTTCAGAGGCCGGGCCGCAAGAGAAGCGAGTCAGCAAGGCGAGCAGGCCATCCAATCCGGCCATCACCGTGGGCGTTTCAGAGGCGAGGTGGCGCCAGGTGGCGGGGATTGTCGTGCAGCGAAGCAGGCGTAGGATACATGTGTACATCATTGTGCATTTAAACATGTTACATATTATAGATTATATATACAATGTATAATATAGTCTATAATATGTACAATGTATAATATATACTATTTATAGTATACACAATAAAATGCAGAGCTCATGCGTATAGACCTGTATATGTAGAGGTGTAGCTATGTTCACGTCTAGGGGTGGTCTTCATGTTTTGAACATCTGGCAAGGCTGATGCTTGTGTTCAGTTGGAAGGTTTTGTCGAGTCATGGATTGATGGGGCCTGTTTGGGAAGGAAGAAGAGGTGCCACAAGAGCCCGAAGAGGCATGGATGGGTTTTAATTGAATTTTGCTGCTCAAACAGATGGAGCTCATGAACGCTCAAGACGAATCCAGTTGTCAAGTCTTGAATCGTGTTCGGAGTTTGTTTTAGCCGGCGCTTGGCCTCGTGTTCGGCTGCAGCCAGGTGCGTCCATCCTGGACAGAGATTGTACCTAGCACCCGAGTGAGCTTGTAGGATTCTGCACGGGCCACTTTACAGATTGATGCAGTAGCTTCAGTTGCCATGACTGCGACGACCAACTTCAGTACTTTAGTGGTGGCAATCAATCCGTCAGCATTGACATTAAATGCGACCTGACAAGCCCAATCATTGCCATTTCAAGACCTACATGCTCCAGAAAATGGAGTTGCGGTCTTTTGCGCGCTGCCGCAGCCCGTCTTTTGGAGGATTTGAATTTGCACACCCAGCTGCCAGCTGTTGTTCTCAGCCTCGATTTCTTTTGGGAGGACGCTGTGCCAATTTGCTGTGAATCGTTCACCGTTTCAAGTTTCGACAAGATGTTCAAATTCTCCTGGCTGCTTTTTGCAGACCACGTGCGTTGGAATTCGCCCACCGCGAACATGCACCACAAATGCCCTGGCTTGGCAAAGCCACACCTCGTGCCTGGAGCAGTGATCAAGGGCATGAGCCCACATCTTGCATCATGCCCAGAGCTTTGGAGATATGTTTGCACTATTCTTGAACAATTTATTGAAGCCCGGGAACCCTGAGGTGAGGCTTACAAGTAAGCTAAGAAAGAAGCTGGAGTAGCAACAAAGCTTAAAGTAGCTACCTAGGACGCAGAAGGGCTCAGGCTTCTTCAAGGAAGCTCCCCCGCCCTGAAGACGCCTGAGCCTCAATAATCTTCCTAGATGTCCTTGCTCCTAGTAGCGATGCCAGGAGCCCCTGGTAGCGTCCTTGCTCATAGTAGCGATGTGTTTGGAAACTTAACTTTTCAACCGCCACCGCTCAACTTGATCCTGCGTCAAGTGTCCTCCAAAATCTTGCGGGAAAAGATGCTCCAAGTGCGGGGTGCAGGTGCATTTGATCTATTTTACAAGCACGTCTTCGTTTTGCGCCCGGGTGCCACCCGAACGGGTGCGCAAAGGCCTAATGCCACGGCGCCGGGTGCCGTGATGCGAATTTGGCCGCCAAGTACAATGAATCTCTCCGCAGGGTCTTTGAAGGAAGTGGAATTCATATGAATTCAGTGTTTGCTCCAAATAAAAATTTGCACACAACACATGTATACATTAGTATACTTTGATATGGCATGGTCCAGAACTTGGGCTTTGCAATTGCCAACCTGCATCATTCAAACAGCCTTGTACCAAGATTCCGACACTGTCACGTCACGACCTTGTGCATTCAATTGGCTTTTGCTTGGGATGGTGTCCAGCAAGGGGTCCGCGGGCATCCTTTTGAGCTTCCTCTCAGGTCATTCGTGCAGGCCGAGCTGGAGCAACCCCGCCTTCTGGGCACTGAGCCCATGTTGCAGGCGTGAACGTGAGCCCGCAAACCCGACACACTGCCTACACAGACCTTGCAATTGTGGCTTCTTTATGCTTTGGTGGCAAGGGCTAGGGCGGCGAGGCATTGCCAATTCGTCCAATACAGTAAACAACTTCAAATTCTCGTTCGAAGTTGTGTCGCATGTGATTCTGCAATCTCTTCCAGCTGAAGCTCTTGGCTAGGCCGTTTTGGAGAATATATAACAAGAACCGAGGTTTTAAACCAAGTGTCACGAAAAGTCGGTTTCCTGCAGCCACTTTTGGGCCCTCCTTGTAGGGTCTACATCTTTTGATATGTCGTTTCCAGCTGCTTGATGCGGCAGAGCTTGCTGGTGCTATCGCTCCATGTTGCTGATGGAGGTCAACTGCTGCAGCAATTTGTGGATGCACTTGGCCGGGGTGACATGGAGCCTCAGCTTGTATCCAACATGTTTGGGTTGGTCATTATGTGAAATTTACCCGGGGCCTTCTCGCCACAGCAACAGAATCCGCAGTTCAGCGGTCCATTGGATTCTGTCATTCCCATGCTGCATGACTCGAGTGGCTTCAGTACATGTCCATGAGCGCCTGCGGCGTCATTCCCTACGTTTCTTTTTCACATACTTTCTCAACGCCCATGCACGTTTCTGGTCTCAGCACCCGTGTGGCCAGGCCGCCTGTGTTTTTCTGACCAACACTCTCCGCACTATCATGTTTTTCCAAGACGTGACCACGTTGTTCTGTAAAGACTGTGTTTAAGGATGGTTTGCTAGCCTCCTTCAACGTGTCCGAACGCGGTTCCCACCATCATTGGCCTGGCAGTGAGCAGGCCTGCTACCCTTTGAGCCAAAGTCTTTTTGTTGCTTTGCCTTCATGGAAGGAAAGACCCACAATGACATTTTTGGCAAGTGTAAGCGTAGACCCACATTGACCAGGCACTTGATGTGATGGCCGATGGCATGGGTACACTTAGAATATAGCTCAACTGAATGAGCACAACTTCAGTTGGTGGATCGACGAGTGCATTGGCCCTTTAACTTTACTGCATTTAGACCTTGGCTGAGTAAAACGGAAAGGTGAATGAGTCCGCCGTCAACTGAACAGTTTCAACACGAGTGCGATAAACCGCAGCAAAGGCTTGCAAAATTGTTATAGTTAAAATTAGTTAAAAGCAGGGACTAACATGAGCGTCTTCGTTGGCTCTCATCTCATGCAGGCTCCGAGAGCCCTCTGCTTTCATTAATTAAGGTAAGAGCAGAAAATGCACGTTCCTGGTGAGAAAAGGATCAGTGGTGTGGAGCCCTTTGGAACAGGGGTTGGCACACACACACACTGGGTAGACCCATTTATCAACATATGTATATACTTGTATTGTACGCGTATGGATATGTAGATGCATATGCGCACGATATATCACCCACTCATCGGACGGTACGCTCCGCGACGATGGCATGAATGACGCCCTGGTCGCATCCGAAGAACACCCCAGTGCAATGTACAGATCAAACTAGACAAGTGACAAGAAGCTACTAGTAACAAGGTGCATCGCTACTAGTAGCAAGGACGCTACTAGTAGCTAAGCGCATCGCCACTTGACAGAAAAGGCACACGCCACGACTCAATTGTGCGGCCCGGGCCACCACACAAGGTGTGCGCTAAGGATAGGAGGATTTCATCATCCAGAGAGGGACAAGCATGTACAATGCGGACTATATATATATAATGCACAGTTGAATGCGATTAGAGGCATGAGGTGCTTGTGTTGAAGAGCCAGGCTTTGGATCTTGCGCACTCCTTGCGCACAGTTGCCGCTTCGCTCGCCCCACAGATCTTGGAGCCATGCCTTGGTGAACGTAAATCTTTCCGAGGCTTGAAAGATGTCTTAGATGAAGGCGGGCATTGCTTCTCTGTCTTGATGTTGATAGTGCAGTTTCGGTTTGCTGATGGTCGGGTTGTGACAGGAGGCGGCCACTTGCCACATGGATTTTGCCCTCTCAGTCGCAAATGGTTTCCTCCATGACAGGCAACTTCCATCTTCGTGAACACTCCCAGCATATCCTCAGCACCCTTCACGAAGCTGGCATGGTTGGTGCACCTGGTGTGGCGACACTTCGTGCATTGGTGGCAGCTGTGGCTGGGCGGACGCATTCGGAGGGGAGCATGGCGCCGGACTGCAGGATGCTGGAAGCATCAATCAACGAAGGCAGACGTGGGGAAAACCATGCTCGTGGAAAATGCCTTCTTCCAACAACGCAGAGCGGAAACGTATGGAAAAGTAATGTCGAAATCGCAAACAAAGAGATGAAGAATATAGGGTCCTTAAAATGGACTTTCTCTGATCCTTACCGTTTTATTTCCTGTTTGTGTTTCCACCACTTGCATTCTTTTTGAAATGCGATTCGCACTCTTAGTCATGCTCCGGAAGGGCAATGAATTTCTCAATGGCCCAGGAGGATCGTGCAACTTGATCCTGAACGTCGGCTTGATGTGTTTCTCGTTTCCTCACGATTTACCTTGGAACATTTTCCGTTTCATGTTTCTCTGAAGCCAGGGTCAGTGGGGATTTGGCATACTGACCCATTCCCAGGTACAATGCTTGGTGAGTAGGTGGCCTCATGCCACCAAGAAGGTGTCTATGAATCCATTGTGGTCGCGTGGGGTAACTAGTGCTCATAGCCTTAGCCCCATGCTCTCTCCAGCACCAAGGTATTTGGAGCCTGCTCCAAGCAGCAGAGCGATGTGAGAATCTCTGGAATTGGGCCTTTCCCGGCTGCTAAGAGAAATAATGTGAGACAGTGCATCAACTTGAGCGGAGCCATGCTGACCTTCTTTGTGCTGTTTCCACTTAATTTTGTTGAGCCCCCTCCAACTTGTTCCAGTCCTCAGCGTCAACGGGGGTCGCAAAAGTGCTTGTGATCCAGCTAGTCCCCCGAAAGCGTCGGTTCGATAGGCTCTTTACCCCTACGCAAGCCATACAAGTTAATGGGTTGAGAAACAAACCTTTGGGAAGTTGCTCAGCTCTTTAGGAAGAAAAACTGGTCAAGTGTTAGCTGGCCAAAAGTTGCCCTGGCAATTCAACGACCCACAGACACCTGATTTGCATGTCTTCTTAACAAGCAAGCTTGCCAAGTCAAGGCCCATGTTTAGCTCGTTCGCGCATTTTGTTCTCTCCCAATGAGCCGTGTTGGAATTGTAGCAGCATGCGGGTACACACCGTTGTGTCCTCGCCAAGGCTTTCCAGCTGAGTGGACTCAGAGCTGGCAGTTTCGAACAGACCTTGGAGATAAACCAGCGGAGACTCTGGAGGCTCTTTTGACGCTGCATTCGGAAAACTTAAGCTCCATGACTGTGCCCATTTAGTGCGTGGCATTCAACTTGGTTGCACACAGAGCTACTTGAGCCTTGAGAAGACAACCGGTCTGCATGCACCCGAGGCATGGCAGAGATTGGCGTTTTCAAGGGAGATTTGTCAACGCAGCTTTTGGAGCGATTTCCGCACTTACGGATGTTGCTGGTGGACCCCTACCATTTGCGCATGGAAGGCTGGAGATGTTGGGTGAACCCTGCTGCCAAGCTGGCACGGCTACCAGTCATTTTCGCGCATTAGGCAGCTGGCAAAGGCATTGCAATCAAAGGGGTTGATGTTTGGCTGTGGGACCAAGCCTAAAAACCTGAAAACCCAAGGCCTTGCAGCCGATCAGCCACAGGGCCTCTCAACAGAGGCCTTAGACGTGGCAACTGCTCGCACCCAGCTTCACCGAGTTCGGGCAACACACCTGCTGCAGGTCTCGGAGCAAGCGGCCCAGTGGATTGCCAGGACACTCTCATTCAATTCTGCCTATCCAACTACAACAACGCTTTTCCCCTAAACAGTTTACTGTTGGGGTTCTATCTTTGAAAATTGGGGTTCTATCTTAGAAAAAAGAGCTGGCCACTGACTGGCCGCGCCCCTGAGCTCTCTGGCCGGTTCTTGTCCTCCTCTTGTCCTGAACTCTGTGGCCGGGCTCTGTGGCCGGGTCTTGTGCTCCTCTTGTTTTCTCTTGTCCTGCTGTTGTCCTCTTCTTGTCCTTCTCTTGTCCTCCTGTTGTCCTCTGGCCGCGCTGACCAGCCCTGGCCACACTGACTGGCCGCACCCCTGACCTCTGTGGTCGGGTGTTTAGAATGCTGAGTGACGTCCAATCGGATGCCCGCGAAAGAAGCGGGTTCGCTCGCGCAGAGCCCCGTCTCATACTGTTGATAGATGGGGCGCCCGATAATGTGCCCGTGAGACGCATTGGACATGGTCAGTTTTTCATGAACATGGTCAACAGCTGGAGAGGAGTGTGGCCGAACAAATAGCCATGTCGATGCCGACAAAAATCATTGACGAACCAATTTGCTCTTCGGGGGGAAGGTAGGGCGTACCAAGAAGTCGTTTTTGACTAACATTGGTCCAAGCGAATCGTCTTGAAACTGTTTGGAGTCTATGCTGGTGTAATTCATACTTTAGACTTTTATCGTCATTCGAATCAGCCTACTTGAGTGACTGTACTCAAAGTAGCCTTGGAAGAGGTCAAGTTTCTGCAAGCTGTTGCGCCTTCCTGTCTCCCTTTGCGTCTCGCTGTGTCGACGACCGTGCCGCAATTCGCGCATTCTGACTCATCTAGAAATTTGCGAATATGAATTCTTAGGAATTCTTTGGATTGCGTCTATGTGGATGGTGACCATAGCTATCACGGAGCTGCTTCGGACATATCGTCTTGGTGGCCCACCATTCGCCCTGGTGGACTCATGGCCGGGCATGCCACTGGGCGCTGTTAGTGTTCATAAGAAGAACCTATGTAGCTTCTAGCTACTAGTAGCGATGCCAGGAGCCCTTAGTAGCGTCCTTGCTCCTAGTAGCGATGCCCTTTGTTACTAGTAGCTAATGGGGATATGATGGGGTAGGAGGTGAGTGTTGGCTCCTAGCCTCAGCCACGAGGGTTCCCAATTTGGACGAGGCATCTGAACCCAGAAGCCCACGGCAATTCCTGCTTCAGTTCCATTGCAGTCCTCCATGGCCTCCAAGGACTACACGTTGATATGGCCCGGGGTTGTGACCGCAGTGAATGAGTTTGCAGCGGCCAAGGGGCTAACGGTGCACTTCACTCCTGAAATCTGGTGGTTTGTAAAGCCGCAGTTCAACCAAGATGACGCATGAAAGTTCAACATCCAACTGTAAGCAGCTGGCCCGCCCTTCATTTCCAAGAATTGAGGATTGGCAGGTTCCTGGACTTCTTAAGCAGATTCAGTCAAGGAACTTTGCTGCAAGAACTTGCCCGTGGCGTTGGCCTCCGCATAGCACTAGTGCATTGCATTGCAGAGATTGTACGGGACAGCCTGAGGGTGCCTGTTCAAGTAGCTGTGCCTTAGCGGCCCTAGCTGGACCTAGCTCTTTGAAGTCGGCTGGTGGAGATCATGTTTGAAGCTGACAACATGATGCTTGACGTCCATTGGGAGTGTCCTCCACTGTAGCACTGCTAGTCGCATGATGCTCCGAAAGAAAGGGTGGCGACCGGCTTGAAACCAGACAGACGGCATCGTGCCAAGAAAGTGTCGTTTCGACAGTTAGGTTTCAAACCATGTGGCAGAGTAGTTCATGGTGGAAATTCCAACCAGAACATCCAGAGTTAGGCAACTGACCGGTATGGGGTCGACGGGTGCGGAGTGCCCAAAGCCACTCCTTGGATGACCCAATCACTCAAACATTCAGTTCCGATCCATTGGACTTTGACGCTTTTGGAGCTGCTAAGTTTTTCAGCCCAATCTGCTTTGCTCTTGCTCTTGCTCTGGTTTTTGTCCAGGTTGCCCAAAGTCATTTGAGAGACTTGGCAATGATGAGACCTTCACAAAATGGAGGAGGCAGTGCATGTGCTTGCTGCCAGGGACGTTCAAGTGTAGTTTTGTGGCACTTGACCAGCGCATGTTGGTTTTAGGAATTAAGCGATCCAGACGATGTTGGTTTCGGGGCTCTCACCCTGCTGGCAGGAGAGCTTTTCTCTTTAGAGGAAGTTGAGGAAGCATTTCTTGGAGCAGAAGAGGTAAGTTTCGGACAGGACAGCTCGGGTGTGCCGGCGCCATCCTATAACCGCACGCCTTGTCGTTCCAATATGCAGCATCATTGTTTTGCACTAGGCTGACTATTTCTTCATCACAAGGCACGCGCGCGCATAGTCAGTCTTGACAATTGGAGGAAGTACTTCTTGAAGGCGACAATGCAACTATGTTGCTGAAAGCATCATGCTCAGGCAGCGTGGAACGGTCGAGTTTTCTGTGATGTCGCACCGTCAGGCATCCATGGCTTTCGATACTCTAGAAAGATCAAGAAACCTCTCTGGAAGGTAAGAGCAAGAACGCTACTAGGGGCTGGTAGACTGGTTCTTTCTCTTTAGGGGGTCGCTGCCTTGGGCCCTATACTATAGATTGTAAGGAGAAGTTGGACTTGCTGGCAGACTCGGCACAAGGACGGCTTCTTTATAGAAGCACAACATGATCTATTACTAGGCTCACCTTACATCTAATCCCTACTGCTCCTTGCAAAGACCTTGTCCTGAAATACAATGAATACCAACGTTTTCGCTCTCAGACTTGAGTTGTGTGCTTGCATACTGTAGTTACTACAGTGGATGTTCTAGAGACATAGTGTGGGGCTCGACTGCGTTTTATGGAGGAGAGGGGAAGCCGCGACCGGGATCGGGACAGGAGCCGCCAACGGCGTGATGCCTCCAAGCATAAGCGGAGGTCGGAACAGGTCCTTGAAGATCGACTCAACCCAGCGGCAGCAGGACCCCCACTGAGCAATCACAGGTTGGGAGGCCCCAACAGCAGGACAGTTCGCCTTAGGGAAGAAGAGCAGTGCTGCAGCTGTTAGCTCAACCTCCTGAGAGCTGGCTGCGCTCCTGAATTCTTGGTGGAGCTCATCAACTTCCGGAAGGAAGGGAGCGAGGCAACTTGATTTCGAGGAAAGGTTGGAAGTTGCTAATGGGTTTAGTTCTGGTAGGTCCAACACGGCAAGCCGAAGGGCCAACCCTCTTAAGCGTAAGGGCTGGGAGTTGGTGGCCCACAGCAGCTCCTTGGTGAAGATGCAGTGGCCGGAGAGCACATCCAGCTCCAGAAAGCGGTTTCGGAGCAGTTTTCGCGTCGCTGGCGGGTGATGTTGCGGTCGGCATAGCTCCGGGTGATGTCCGGGCTCCGGCATTGAAGCGGCGTCGTACTCTTCCAAACCAACGCTGTTCACTTTGGAGGAGTACACCGTTAAAAAAAGAGAGTAGGGCTGGTGAGCAGACAAGAAGAGGGACCCCATAGCCCTAAAACTGCAAAGGCTGAGGACGCTACTAGGAACAAAGGGCATCGCTACCAGGAGCAAAGACGCTACTAGGGGCACCTGGCATCGCTACTACGAGCATTCTTACTACTAAGAGCAAGGACGCTCCTGGCCATAGCCCATTCCCTTGAGTCACTCGGTGCACCAGGGAAGAAGCCACCCCGCACAGGACAGGGAAGGCGCTTCTGACGCATCACCAATGAAGGACAGAGAGCAGATTGCTCCTAGTAGCGATGCCCTTGTTCCTAGTAGCTTCTTGTTCCTAGTAGTAAGGCCAGGAGTGCCCCTAGTAGCGTCCTGGCTCCTAGTAGCGTTTGCGTAGGTACTTTGAGATGGCAAGGATGCTTTACGAATGGCTTGACAGTGTGGAAGTACAGATGGAGTTAAAACACTTGCTCGGCCAGGGCACGAAGATCAACGATATGAGGTTTAGACTTAGACTCCACACAGCACCAAGCCCAGCAGCCACCGGTTTGAGATACGTGCGCATCTTGGCCAACCTTCTCGAGGAGATTGATTGTGTTGAGCACCCGTCCAGACTTGGCTCACCTGGAAGCTAGGGGGGTCCATCACAGGCCCACCGGCAGACCATTTCCCACTGAGTGTGTATATATATATATATGGGGAAAGAGAGAGAGAGAGAGAGAGAAAAAGGTGAGCAGGGTGTATGAGTTTTTTGGTTTTCCCGCGATATCACTTTCTTATCAAATTTAATCGGTAATATTCAATAACAAATGTCAATCGAAAGGTTGCATTCCTGTTCCCCTCTTGTGAGGCCTGGGCCTAGGCGGAAGCCTGTGGTCCTTGGCGTGCTACGGGCTTTGTGTGGTTGTCGGAGCGTCCGCCAAAGTGGCGCGGCTACCAGACCTGGAGGCACTGGAGAGCACTGAGCATTCATGAAAAGTCGCGTGCACTGAATGCACATGAAATTGGGTGCGGGCCCTCCAGAAATCTATATATCTCCACCATTGCTTTTGGCATGGGTCCGCCTTTTCACTCGAATGCCCGCGGATCATAGCTGCGGAATCCATTCTCATCCGTGCCCGTTTTTTTTCCGGAAAACAAGAGCATTTAATGAAAAAAGACTGCGCAGATATCCCCCTGCGAATTGCCCCGCCCACTTCAACCACTTGTTGTCCCAGCCACCTTCCATGTGATTGCCTGACGGATGATAATTTCCGCATTGGGGCGCCATTACGATTTACCGTTCCTTTAATTGATGTGATATTATGTTTTTTTCCTGCTTGATACCTCCATATGATGGTTTGTACACTTCCCACCATGCCTGCCACAACAGAAAGGGGTGCGTAGGCAGCGACGACAATCGCGCGAGGGGATCCCACACCATGTTATATAGACGAACAATGAACATCCTCAGTAAACTATTCTGGTCTTGGTTTTTCACCAGCACGGGTTGACCCATGACCATACAATGAAAGTCTCCAGTGGAGGCTTTGACAGTGGCAGATGTGGTCGTGCTTCTGGGAGGTGCGGTTTTGCTAGGGCCGTTGAGTTCTCCAGACAGGTTTGATGTTCTTGCGCTCGCACGGAGATGGACCAGTTCAGTTTTGCATTGCCAGGCATCTCCAGGCATCCTTCCCGTGATGTCCAGCAGCAGCTGACAGACGCTGCAAAGGAGGCCCCGTAGACCGATGCATACAATGATCACACACAACTAAACCCCGACAAACTTACAGACCCGAAGCGGACAACCTAGAGAAATACAATTTCGTAGTAGTGATTCGCAGCATTCAGCGACAAATTGCATCTCACCCGCAATTTTATGAATGTGAGCTTTGAGGTGGCGGTTGTGCTGCAGTCCCGAGGGAACGTTCTGGTGCCGTTGAACGGCTCACCAGAGGCTGCTTCGCCATTCCGCCAGAATGAGTGGCAAGGGGTTAGATCATGTCAAGAAGTTCTGAAGGAGTTTCTGAAGGGAGACCTTGATCTTTTTTACGAAGCAATTCCCTTGGTCAATCTATACAACCAAGAAGGGCCCACGCAAGAATGAGAGAAGGTAGCAGTTGAATCGAGAACTCAGAGCTGTTGGCTTCAATCTCGTTTCGCCAAGACACGATTTTGCAGCATTAGTAAGGGATCAGTCCAGCAATGCGACCACAAGCACAGCTTAGTTGGCCTTGCCTTGATTTCTAGATTTGCACTTGGCCTTGCCGTGATTTTCCTTTGTGTGAGGATTTCACCGAAGAGCTGACCGAGTGCATCGCCAAAGCCATCTCAGAATTGGAGCATTTTGGCGAGAAATGGTCAGGCATTTGTGCGCTTGAAGCAGACTGACCATGACGGCAGATTTTGGATGTGGTTTGCTAATGTTGCCGAGGAATCAGGGGCCCATCTTTGCCATCAGCACGCCTGCTCGATCTTTGAGGTAACCGGCATTGGTTTGAGTGAGTGGAAATTCCAACGTTGCAGAAAGGCATCCGGAGCACAACATTTGCCGACAGGCGCTGTGGTCGTTGGGCCGAGTGGACTTCCAAGAAGGGTCAGGTGCAGACCTGAGGCTTTTCGCTGGAACATTGAATCTTGTGGTTGGTATAAAAAATACACAACTTTATATATATATATATATAATTATATATATATAATATTTATGTTTATATGTATTTTGACGTACATACATGTGGGTGGGTATCTAAATGAACACATATATAGTATAATATGCATTCCGTTGCTGTGCGGGTATAAGTCTTCCACCTGCACAGGAGGACGCATTCCGCAGAACCGTTCTGGTGAAGACAAAGTCTCTCCCAAAGACGAATTTCAAACGGCGGCCTGGTAGGGGGTGGTGTTCTCGCGAGCATGTGGTGGCATCAGTTTGGCGGCACCTTGTTCCACGCTTTGCGGACATACTGACAGACCTGCTCCTCAACATCACACGCCGACTCTGTGGCTAGAGAAGCTGCCATCTTGGAGTCAAAGCTCACGACTTCCTCTGTGCCGAAGCTGGAGGGGCCGCGGGCAGAGGCTCTGCGTGGCTGAGGAGCTCGTTGCAGAGTCAGGAGGGCCATTAGAGTCGGCCAAAGAGATAGTGCTTGGGGCAGAGGATCCGTCTATGACAGCGAACGGTAGTAGCTTTGTTGTTCCCTCTTTTTGAGGACGGTATGTGACTCTGTAGAAGCCTCCAAAGGATGATTGATTATGCATATGAAGTGCTCGTATGATCGAGCAGGTCAGTCATGTGAGGATGCGGTATGCTCTTCGTGTTGCGTGGGACAGAAGTGAAGGCTTCTCAAGCAGGAAGCATGTTTAGATGCAAAGGCAACAAGTGCGCATGTGTGCAACTAAATGTGCACTCGCAGAAACAAGGCGCCAATGGCCGCTTCCCTGAAATGCCGGGAGTTATGCCCCGTACCAAATGGGGACACATGGAATGTGCCGTCAGGGAATGTGTGACATTGTGTCCCAGAGCGTCGTCAGCGTATGTTCTGTCGCGAGGATGTGATGATGGTCGCAATGTGTCGTGAGGAGGAATGTGCAGTCCGGCAAGGGTGCGGAAAAGGGTCAGGGCAGTGTGACGACACTGTGCCGTCACCGTTTGCAAACAATTCGTCGGTGCAACGTGCCATCAGCTTCTCCCCCGAGAGTCATGACCAGCGGGCGTGCATATACCTGATAGTAGCAAAAATATGCAAACATGTTTTTCATGTATAAATCTGTATCTTACTGTTATAGATTTGTCCAAAAGGGCCTATATAGGCAAGACGCTGCGTGCCTTGTGCTCCTCGCAGGAACGTGCTCGCGTCGGAGAGCACCCGTTCCTTGTGGATGCGCTGAGGGAGAGTGGCCGCCTTGTATTGCATCTCAGCAGAGAATGTGTGGAGTAAAATCGGGGAAACTCAAGGTGTGCAGTGTTGAAACTCTTTCAGTTTTGACAGCTCCTTCAGCGATCGGGATCACATAGATGAGCTTTACTGTTTTACTTGATCCCAACACATTGATGTGGAACAGAAGTCTTGAAACAGGGGAGGCGTGTGAACCCAGGGTCTTCTCCCTATCTCGCCTTCTCGCTCGTCAGGGCTGAGACGATCAATGACCTGACCGACGCTTATGAGGAGTTGGATGCTTACGCCAATGGACCATTGGGTTTGCGCCGGTTTCAGTAGCTCCAGCTCTGGGCTCTGGCCGGCTCTGCCGCTCTCCCTTCACTCCTTTGATCTCGTTTTGCAACTCATCTCGTGAAGCAAGGACGCTATTAGGTGGAGGCCATCGCTAGTAACAAGAATCTATTGTGGCCTGTGAGACTTGCTGAGGCCATGTGTTGTCTTGGCTCCCATCTCTCTGAAGCGGCACTTCGAGAAGCTTTGGGCGGGCCTGTGTGTGGGTATGTGTGTTATGGCCTGTGGCCTGTGAGCCTACGCTGGGGCTATTTAGAAAAACAATCTGAAAGTCTGTCAATGTGATGAGTCCGTAGTTTTGCGTCCATTGTGCTTTTACCTGGGTCGAAATGGTTCTGGCCCGAAGAACATCCATTCAAACTCCTTTGGGCAAGAGGGGTGCTTATATATTTCTTTGGAGTGGCCAGGCCTTGAAAGTTGTGTATGTCCAGGTGCCTGATGCAACTGGACGCCTTGCCGCTGCTAGTTTGCACGTGTCAGGACTCACAGAAAGCCTCCAGGCGACTCTGCTGGTTGGATGTCCAAGGAGTTTTGCCAGGCACCTCTTGCTCGCTGCACAAGTATCAAGATTCATCAAGATTCCATAGGTTTATACAACAAAAACATGATGCAACCTTGATGTTTCAGGTGTTGGCAACGCAATACAGCCTTATATTTCCGCAACAGTGGCTTGGCAACGAAAAGACATCTCTGTTTTCCTTCCCTCCTTTCTTCTTCCAGAGGCTCGTATGGTGCCCGCAGTGACTGGAATCTGGAAAATCTGCACACAATTTGTTCTTGGAGGGACCTGAATGGGACCTGAAAGGGGCCTGAGGGAACCTGAGGGAACCTGAGGGAACCATTGCTTGTTCGGGCGGGATTTCGTGCTTTTTTCGGCGCTGGGGGTCCGAGCGGTTCCGGTGGTGAGGACTTTTTCATTTCTTCAGTGTAAGATCGACGGGGTGAGTCAGAGAGGTCATTCTGCGGCCACAGAGGTCATGGCCAGCCAGGTCCAAGCTTGATTTGCGAAGCCTAGGAACCAACTCTAGTAGCAAGGACGCTATTATATAGGTTGAGGCCATCGCAACGCTATGAAGGCTCCGGCTTCTTCAAGAAAGGGTTTGCCTGGTTTGGCTCAAACTCAAAGTGCTTCTCAAGGGGGTTCCAACCCAAACAACAAACAACAAGACAGTGGTCATGAAACCTACCATACCACTGGGTATATTGCTGCAACAGACTCTGAACCGAGGGAAACCTTGTCCGATGCGACGGCATCTGATAATTTTTGACCGCTTTGCTTGGAGATATAGGTTGGAAAACGTCAGGTGCAACGCATCATCCAAATCCATCAACTGGTGAGTGCTGGCAGGTGTCCTCATAATCCAAAGCTTCAGCCCGAACCACGTCACATGCTTGGTTACCAGTTACCAGTGCCGAGCCAAGCACCGGAAGACAGCTCTCCGTCTGCAATTGCCATTGCCATCACTGGCTTCCAGCGGACCGAGACCGCCCAGGCATCGCAGGTGAGTGGCAGCTCGGCGGTAGCCTAAGCTACAACCAAGGCAGCACATCTGAACACAGCAGCCACATGCGCTGCCCCCTGGTTGCGGAAACCGCCAGCTGTTGGGACCCTACTGCAACACGGGTGCTCCGCACTATCTCCGGAGCGGCTCGCGAAGAGGCTGACCGCGGAACCACCCATGGGACTACTGTTGCAGGAGTTGAGTGTGACGATCCGGCGGGCGAGGGCGTGCTGTTTTGAGACACCGTGCTGAACTCCATTCCCAGGGTCCTGAGCCTCAGCGCCAGGCCGCCCTCCTCCTCGAGGACCGCAGCTACTGAGTCGATACTCTTGCTCTCCTAGTTTTGATTGCCTGGTGTTTTTGAGGTGGGTCCTCACTTTGTCTATGAGGCTGCCCCTTTTTCTCCCTTGCCTCAGTGGCAGGGTTTGCTTTTTTGGTAGGGGGCAAACCCAGCTGCATGAGGCCGCTGGCGCTTTTTTGCTCCTCCTCCCTTGCTGCCCCTTCTTTTGGCGATGCGGGACCTAGACGATGCACCGCTTCATCTGAGTGGTCGCCCGTGTCTCTTCGTTGCCCCGTTTTTCCCCCCACTCCCGGCAGTTTGGCTAAGCGGCGGTCCATATGGTTTGCTGACCAGCCTGTGTGTGTTGTGCAGCTGTCTCCTCTCAGCCTTGTCCTCTCACACGAGGGGATCCTTTGGACTTCCATCAGCTACCTAAGCTGATGGCCTTGGAGATACACACCTCCAGAAGACTTATACAACTACCCCTTTGCTGACTATGCCCGTTCCATAGCTTACTAGTGGAGAGAGGGTCTGTGCCAGTGAAAACTAGGCGCCGTTCTTGATGTTAATGGCTCCGGCCTTTTGGCACGCTGAGCTCGAAAGCCTTTTGAGGTTCGGGGGCTTGAAGGAAAGGACGCAAAAATAAAGGCGGCAAAGCAACATCAAGCCAAGGATCAAGGAGCTGCCCGCGTTTGCTAAATCTACAGCTTTGTGCCTCCACTACACTCCCCGTCTCGGCTAGTTTTCTTTTTTTGGGTCTGTTCTTGCAGCGCTTTTGATTTGCAAGTCTGTAGCCTACTGGCTGAGGAATTAGCCAGGACTTGGTCTTCGTGTGCCCGACCACCGAAGTTGATCGTGCCGACCCTCGGGCTGGCATGGGTCGTCTTCAGGAGCAACCTTTGTGATAGCAGCTTTTCATGGCCAGAGTCATGCCATCATCCAACCATACTATATTTAATGCACTGTACATGTTTGGTTGGAGCCAGTGCCCTGTGTCACACAGCGTGACTCACTTGTGATAAGGAAGGGTCGAGTTCCGTTACCACCAGAGCTCACCTCCTGCAAGGCTACGGTCCGGGAGGTTTTCGGGATGCGGCTGATAGGTTCCCAGCATGGTGGGTCTAAGATTTCGACGCTCGACCCACTGCCAGCCACCCACTTCAGCAAGCATTGATGGAACACTTTACATCATGACTCATTCTGGGATGTGGTTGCCAAGTGAAGAGGGGAGTCTTCGCGAATGTAAAACCTCCACAGGCCCGCAGAGCTAGCCAGCGAAAGCAAAACATGCCCTACGACTCTTCTGCCCAGTATTTCTTGAGGCGGTGGAGCTCATGGTGCTTGACTCTGGTCTTCTAGAGGTGCCACTGGATTTGAATCCTGACAGGATTGAGTCAGATTGAGTGCGCTTGTTGTTTGAAGTCTTCGATGTTCTGGGCAAGGAGGTTTGGCTTGGGGTTGGCCAATGCATGGGGTGGTGTTTTGCGCTTAATAACTCTTGTGATTCAGGTGATTTCAGGTGGTTTAGAATCATGTGAAGCATGTGGAGTGCCGGATAGTCAGTGTCAGAGATCGTGAGAGGGGATTTGGTGTCGCATGTGAATGTGCTTACTTCCATTTCATCCTTCACGCCTGTGGTCCTTCGTAAAAGTGATAGGTTGTTTTGGTCAGCCACACCGGCACACATCACCACCTAGGCCCTGCAAAGTATAAACTGAATGATGCCCACCTCCAGGGTAGCCATCGCTACTAGTAGGGGTGGAGGCCCTCGCTATTGGGTTGGAGGCCATTGCTAACAGTAACACGGGCATTACTACTAGTCAAGAAGCTACTAGTAACAAAGGGCATCGCTACTAGTAGCAAGAAGGCTACTGTTACTAGTAGCTTCTGGCCTTACTAGTAACAAGAAGCTACTACCTTCCTTTCGAACAGATTGAATCGCTCCGCCCAAGGGACCGGCCCCGCGTGAAGTGCTGGCTGCCGCGAGACCACCTGGCAGTGGCACGAAAACAGGGACGTCACCTAGCCGCATCGGGGTTCAGTACTTGTGAGCTCAAACAACTGTGATTTGTTTCCTTAAGTTACGAGTGATCCACCAAACCTCCTCCTAGCGTCCAGCGCGAAGGCAAACGGCCGGCAGATGTGCTACCTCTACATGGCACCTTCATTGGCAACACCAGGCCCCGTCCCGAATCGGCAGCAGTCCAAATCAAGCAAGTGGGTGTGACTTCGTGGCCTGGTAGATGGATAAGGTGTGGAAGTGTTTCAAGGGCCGCACTGCAAGGCCGCGGATCGCACCACGCCAGCCAGAAGCCGAGCTCCTGGCTGGGGCTGTGGAGGTCAAGGCTCAAGTGGACTCATCTTGAAATGTGGCGCCTGGCCCCAGGGATGGAACGCATTTGAGCATCGCGCGAGGCCTTTCAGGATGCCATGCGGAAAGCGGGGCTGGTAGTGGAAGGCGGGCTCAGAACTCTCCGGCTGAAAGTCCATGAACACCAAAGACGACGTTTGAGAGACCAGATCTTTCAAGCGCTTTTGCGATTTTCTTTGCCTTAGAGCCACTTGGAGTCTAAGAGCATCTGAGAGCCAGCTAGCGGCCAGGGAGTGGAGAAGTGCTGAACGTACCTTCTTTGGATGCAAGGCCACGAGAGGGTGAAGTGACAAGGTCAACTCATGGGGTCCACGTGGCACGTGTTAAAGCTTTTCGTATTCCACTTTCGTAGACCAGGGAAGCTGATGTTGGGACTTGTTTCGACTCCTTTTCCACATACTGCGCAAACTATTGCCCCGCAGCGGGGGACTGAACTCCTTTGACACGACCAAACCATGCGTGCCATTTCATTCGCAGAAGCACGTCTGGAAGACGAACGGCAGGAGATACGAAGCTCCGAGTGACAAAGACAGAGACATCAACAGAGGCAACAGACGAGACATCAGCAGAGGCAACAACTTTGGCAACAACATTGGCGGAAAAAACGTTGGCAACAATCCTTCCAACAGGAAGCAAATCATGGCAAAAAACAGGGACAAACCGAGCAAACATGGAACACCACAACATACCACACCAAGCCTTCCAGATGGCACCCCGGGACACCGCCCATTTATGGGCTGACTGAACGACCCCACAGACATCCACATCAAGACTCTCGAGCAACTTTTTTCTATTACCGACGGGCTAAAGTTAGGATTAACCAGAAAAGACGGGAACGCAGAAGACAGTGGAGATTCTTCAAACGCACATGTCTGTGGGCGAGAGCCACTAAGACAGCCAAGGAACGGTTACAGAAAAGTAGTCTTGTTAAGAGGAAATGTTTGAAACAACACAGCTTCAAACAATCATTAAACCATGCAAGACATTGGTTCAAATCCACGATCAAGAAAAGGAAACAAGAATTTTGATATAAATGCGCCGCTATCAAGTTCCAAGAAACCAGTTTAAATCAGAGCAACAAACTACAAAAAAATGAGGCGAAACAATGGAAGCTAAAACACGGAAGTCGCTTGAAAGTTGCCACTTTGAATGTAAGAGGATGCAATCACCTTACCAAACGGGAAGTAATTGATGATATTATGAAGAAGCACTCATACGATATACTACTTCTAACAGAGACCAACGTTAATACCTCCAGCTGGGAAAAATGGGACAGCTCAACTTGTTTCTTTAGTAGTAATATTGACCCCAAAATAAGAGAACGAGAAATGAAAAAAAGGGACGAAAACATAAACCCTGGAAGGGCGAGAGCAAACTACAGAACATCGGAGGACTTTGAAAATGCCGGAGTAGGAATAGTGATTAATTCATCACTCCTTCCAAGTCTGCGAGATATTAGACAAATTAACGGCCGGATAATAACAGCCACGTTTGAAGCACAGGGCTCACCTCTTTCCTTTATTTGTGCATATGCACCTCACAGCGGACACACTATTGAACAGAAAGAGGAATTCTACGACCAACTATCCACAGAAGTGTCGCGAATAAAAGGGCGCTTCTTGATTGGAGGAGACTTCAACGCCCGTATTCATTACGTTAGAGACAACGATATCGATGTATGTGGACCACATATCATAGGCAGAGGAATGGAATATCTAGATAACATGAATGAACATACAAAAGAAAATAGGGCACTTTTCCTTGGGTTTTGCAAATCACACCGCCTTCAAGTTGCAAACAGCTTGTTTTCGAAACCGCCTGAAAAGTTAGCCACTTACAAGGAAAAAGTCCATATGGGTGAAAACGAAGAATACAATGGCCCCCCATATGACGCAATAAAATATGCACAGATCGATTACTGGCTCTGTGGGCAGATCGAGCAAACAGCAATATCAGATATCCAAAGTAGATTAGATGTTCTTTTTGATTCAGACCATTTTGTGTTGGAATGCAAGCTCAATATTTCTTTCCCTACATTTAAAAAGGATAATGCGCCACGTACGTCGCGATATGCGAAACCTGACTCAGACAGATGGATTTTCTACAATAATAACATTCGGTCTTTGCTAGAGGGGAAAAGATGCGACTTGGATTCACTCACAGAGGCCATGAAAAACGCGGCCGCAAGCTCACTAAGGATAGAACCTCCGAATAAAACGAAAAAATTTATCCGTCAAAGTACTTGGGCAAAAATTGAAGAGAGAAACGAAAAGGCCCGAAACGGAACCACAGCAAAGGAAATAACGAACCTCAACAGGGAAATTGCCCGAATGGCCCGGAGGGACAGGCAAGACCATTTGATAGAACAATTCAATGAGAACCCCCAAGATCCCAATAAGAAAGGTTTATGGAGAGCGGTTAAGGGATTAAAAAAGAAATTCATACCCAATTATGTGAAAATGAAGAACTTGGATGGTCAGCATGTCCCTTTGGCCCAACGCGCTGAGACTATAGCGAACTATCTAGAACAAAAACACTGGAGCAACCAAGCTGAAAACGAAATCAACCACAGCAAACTTGTAGATAGCAACGATGCAGGAGTAGAGAGTTTCACAATACAAGAGCTCTGTGCAGCCATCAAGGCGGCAAAGCCCAATAAACAACCTGGCCCTGATGGTCTAACTATGGAACTGATCAAGTGGCTGGACAATGCCAACCGGCGGGTTCTTTTATCTGTTATCAACAGCTGGTGGAATTCAAAAACTGCGCCGTCGGCATTGTTCATGGCCCGTGTTGTCCCTATCTTCAAGAAAGGGGATACAGATATTGCTTCCAATTACAGACCAACCTCCTTACTCAACAGTTTCTATAAAATATACATGGTGATGATCAGGGCCAGAATGCAGGCAGCCACAGAGCATCTACTGTCTAAAACCCAGTACGGCTTCAGGCCCAGCAAGTCTACTTCACATGCCATCTATATTCTCAGACGAATTCAAGACTATTCCGAAATTAAGGGGGCGAAGCTGAGCATTGCCTTCCTAGATTGGGAAAAAGCATTCGATAAAATTCAACATGACAAGCTTCTTGTTGCCCTTGGCCGACTGGTTTTCAATTCGCAGTATACAGAAGTCATCGCAGACTGTTATGCAAAGCCACAGTTTTATGTCAAGGACGAATTCGGTTGTTCCGATTTTAAAGTTCAATCCTCTGGGATCCGACAAGGTTGCCCACTGTCACCTTTCCTATTTGTATTAGTCATGACCTGCATCGACATTGACATTCAACAAAGTATTTCCGCTTATGTGACAAATAATCGAATCCCAGGGGTTAATTTTGACATGATCTATTATGCAGATGACACTGTACTTTTCTCACGGAACAACCGAGCATTAAACGAATTGCTGAAATTGACAGAGAAAATCTCCAGTGGATACGGACTTGGTCTCAATAAAAACAAATGTGTTGCTATCACTATGAACAACGACGGTTGTATTCATTTTCATGACGGGACCCCTTTGAACAAAGAATTTGAGGCCATGTATCTTGGAAATGAGATAAACAGGACAGTAAATATAAAACATGAAATCCTCAATAAAATGTCAGAGGTCAGAAGGACCTGGTTCAAGCTCAGCGCCTATTGGAAAGCTTCTGGAGCCAGCAAAAAGTGGAAGCTAATCATTTTTGATGCCATAATCCGGAGCAAGCTTTTATATGGGTTGGAAACTATACATTTAACCCAGGCGCTAAGCAAATCACTAGATGCTTTCCAATTAAGAAGCTTGAGAAAGATTCTCAAAAGACCGCCTACTTTCATAGATCGGTCATGTACGAATCAAAAGATTCTTGAGGAAGCAACTGCCATTGCCTTCCCAACTCGGGGCGATAACAGACAAATTATACGTTTCAGTGATTACCATATGAACAGAAGATGTAAATTACTTGGGCATATAATTAGAAGCAGTAATGATGACCCCATGAGACAAGTATCATTCGTTGATAGCACTGCATCCAGAGTTGATTACGGCACCAAACGAGTTGGGAAACCGAGGCAAAACTGGCTGCATATCACAAAGAAATTTGCATACGAAAACGTTTTGAGACATCATAATTTCGATGAAAACACCGATGATGCAAGAATATATGCAGCCGCATTGAACAGAGATTTTTAATTGCCGTTCTTTGGCTGTGCCAACGCCTTGCAATAAGCCCGTCCGGACCAGGTCGGCGCGAGGTATGGCTGGAAAAAAAACCATGCGTGCCAATTTAGTGTGAGCCGTTCTTTGAGTGATCAGAGCCGATACTTGTAACATTGTACTAAATAAGCATCGGAGAGATGGGCACTGCAAGCCTAATTAAGGTAAGCATCACCTGACTAAGCTGTCAGTTGTTAGTTGTGGAGGATCTTGCTCAACCAGCCTAGTGGCATTGCTTTGGAGACCATCGTGGAGTGCAAGAGTGCCGACGGACGTCGAAGGACCTCGCCAACCACAGAGACCAGTGGAACCCTCCACATCCCATCAGAGGCCTGCCTACCTCTACACAGACCGACAACATGCGGCTTGATTGATGCATCATCTCCTTCACAAGCCACCCGTGTTTAGAGTGATCTTCTAAAGTACTGCGCGTCATCTGCAGTCGGTTACTAAGTACTCTGCAGTTTGATCATGACCTGACACCCGGGTGAGCCAGGATCGCAGAAGTTCTGGATTCCGTGCTGATGGCCTTGTAGCTTGTGGCCGCGCAATCCCATGTTAATGCGGGCCAACAGATTGTAGAGCTTTAGCTTTGCTGTGTGCAGAGCTGTGATGCCGAAGTTTAGTTGAAACAGCTCGCGAGGCTTTGGAAAAAGTCCGCTTGTTGTGTTGCAAGGGCTGAGGAGAAGGAGCCTGTCATAGCCTGTCAATGCTGGGGCGATCTCCTTTTCATTGCCGCCTGGGCAACCTGATTGAGTGCCCAGCAGCTGTTAAGTGTCACTAGTTTGCATGCTTTCGCTACTGAAGCGCTTGGAGCTGATCAATGTTGTCACGGGTCACTCTTGCCGATGTGGGACAACAACCCCAGTGCATTGTGCATCCTCATTGTTCATTGTGGTTTAGTGGGTGTCCAGTTGCATGGGGGATTGCTCTGAAAGACGGTTGTAAAATTGCCCCGACCAACTAATAACCGTGACTGCCAACTGCATAGCTGAAAGGCTCAAGAGTGGTTCGAGACCACTGCCGGATGTCAAGCAGAGCGGCTCCCAGGCATGGCAGATCTACAGCCGGACGTAGTGAGGTTTTCTGGTGTGCATTTTGAACAGACACTTTGTTCCTCTGTCCGGCGAAAGGCATGGAATGGGAACCAAGCCGATGTTGCAATGGCAACCTTGCAGCAGTTCCCTCTGTTGGTTCATGGTGCCAGGCCCAAGATGATTGACGCGTATCCTGGCTACTATTCTCCGAACGTTCCTCGGAAGAATTTCCAGACCGGGGTAGGGGTTAGGGGTTTGCAGCCGTCTGCAGTGCTAGTCAGGTATGGCTTGTGAATATCCAAGGTCGTTTGTGTGTGACGTGTTACTATCTGTGCCGATTGGGCTCCCATGTTCCCACCTCCCATGACTGGGAGCAACTTGAGGAGTCTATTGAGTACTCCTCACATCGTGGCGGCATTTTTTCTGCGCCCTGGCAGAGGGACTGCTAGGTCGGTTTGGCCTAAAGTGACCAGGTGTGAAGCAGACATTGCTTGATCGGCTTTACTTTCCCAGTCTGATTCTTTCGATGTTTGTCACGATTTTGAACAAATTGAGCGTCTCCCGAACATCACTCCTAGTGGGCATGCAGCGGCATGCCAGACGTTAAGTTTGGTTGCAAGAGAAGTGCAGGGAAGGAGTGAAACCTGGGAAGCATGTCGGAAACATGGTTCCCCCTCTCCGGTGATTCCAAGTGCAATTTTCTGTGGTACTGTGGTGTTTGAAGGCCATCGTCAACTGCTTTGTGGAACCATCATTATTGCCTTTGGTAGTCACTAAGATGTTCGAAGCTCGAGGAACTGCCGTGCTGAGGATTTCATACGAGCGTCCATGAATGACTGCAAGATCCTTTGCTTTGAGATCCGGAGGCGCATGCAGATTGCAATGCAATGCAGCATTCCCTTGACAGGTCACGGCTTGAGGGGTTTACGGCTTGGGAGTACCAAACAGGTTGGGGCGATTTGGGAGTTGAATCGCTCGAATTACTTGACGTCACTTGTCTGCTTTGTCCAGATATTTGCACGTCTGCTTTGACCGGGACTTCTTGGCGTCGGCTGCCAGCCGCAGAGATCTGTGGCGCATGCTTTTGTCCGGGCCTGAATGTGAACAGTGTGGAACAGTGTGGTCCCTTTTTTCACTTCATAATCCTTCCAGGGAGTGTAGTCCTGAGGATATTTGTGGAGCGATTCTATGCCCTATATCCTTCCAAGCCCTTCCCGTCTCGTTGTGGTTTTAGGCAATTCGTAAACGTGGATCGAGGCCTCTACCCGGCATCATGGCGTTGGTTGCAGACAGCGGCAATCACGAGCTCATGCTTATGGATGTCTGGGGCTCGTGCAGCAAATTCAGCAAGCCCTGAACTCTGAGAGTTGGTTGAGCTTGAATGTCAGTTCAAAGCAGGGATTGAGGCTGATGCAGATGTAGTGTGCGAACTACATTCTTAGAGGGAGCAAGTCCTGGCTGAACTCTTGCGATGCAGTTGCGGAGAAGGTTCCTGATTAGAATGCGAGCAGTGACAAGACTGCCCTCCAGATGGAGGTCTATTACACTCATATAGTTTTAGCAGCAATGGCCTCCAACCTCCAACCTAGTAGCGATGGCCTCCAACCTAATTGTGATGGCCTCCAACCTAGCAGCGGCACACACACACGCACACACACACACACATATATATATACACAACAATCTAAATACATGTGTTGGACTCTCTGTGGCGGCCCGCACTTGGCTCGGACTGGACGTAAAGAAAATGACTGGCACGTGGTTGCTCCTCAAGAAAAAGACCCCGGGTTCTTCTGCAAGGAGGTTTGGACTTGGCAGAGATGCTTTCAAGTTTAGACTTGCAATGTAGTCAACAAGGCTCAAGGCTGGTGAACCATCAATCTCCTCAATCTTCTATACTACTTGTGTTGATCACGATGCCCATCCAATTGACTACCTCATGTCACCTATCACGTCGGAAAGGCTACTTTGCCTGGGGCGGGCATGCGGACTCCTGTGACCATGGGTTCGGGCGGCATGAAAGCCAAAGAACTATCGCTGTCGAAGCCGGAGATGCAGATGTTTCTGGGATTTCAGTGCGGTCGAGTTGTCCAAATGAAATTGCAATCACGCATGTAGCTACTATGGCTGAAAGAAACAGGTGGCTACAGCAGTGGCAGCTTTGTTTGATATTGTTGTTCATGCGTTCATGCCACTTATCACAGGTTTGTACAACAACGATGGAACCTGAACTTTTGCGGACGTCGTTTGCAACCGACCAAGTGTGCGCAATTTTTCTACACGAGGAGTGTGCTCATAGTATGGTACTTGTAGGCTGCTGACTGTGGGATCCCTGCGGGCTTAAGGATTATTTGGACGATTCAGGACTGGACCGAGCTACAAGCAGGAATACAAAGGAAGCATTTAGAAGGAAAAGGAAAGGAAGAAAGGCAGAAAGAAAGACACAATAGCTTGGAGGTCTAAACGTCAAAATTTCAGACCGCCAAATGAATCATGTGAAGTAAAGGACCATTCGCCTTTCTTCGCCTTTCTTCCCCTTTCCGCGTCCGACTGGCAGCTTTTATATACTGTACTTTAACTTAATCAAGTAAGGGCAGTGCAAGCAGGATAGCTCACGCTTCAAGGAAGCTCCCCCGCCTGAGGGCGGAGGAGAGCTTCCTTGCAGAAGGGCTTGCACCATTGATTTAGTTCCCAGATTCATATCTTAAAAGCGTTAACCTCTAGTTTCTTACATTTTCTTACCCTCCTCGCCCCCTGGCCCATAGCAAGTGAGAGAAGAGATGGAGAGAGAGAGAGAGAGAGCAAACCTAGTAGCAAGAGCCCCTGAGATACCTTAAGAGATTTTAGTAGTTGATCCCTCACTGCTGGGAAGACTGCTTTCAGACAACCTTTCTTGAAAAACCTGCTCCATGAGCTGCACTGAGGCGGGAGATCATTCTCTTCTTGCTGGGTTTACCAGTGGAGACGCGTGAAACTCTGGAAGAGGCTGAGAATTACACCTTCACTATGTCGTGCCACAACCAAGTTAAAGGTTTCAGCTTGTTGCCAATTTCTCTTGGCTATCGATTGGAAGTATTGGAACATATGCCCAGCTTAGTCAGCTTCCGATCAAAATCAGCCATTGTGAGGCGCATCAATCCTACGGAGCTCTGCTCCCATGTCCCTGCATTGTATTATAGCCCGTAGCTTCTGAATTTACATGATTGTAACCAGGCTACTTTAGGCTGCTTACGGGCAACCTACCCCGACTCCCCAAAACAAGATTGAAAAAATTGTCTTATTTGGTGAGCACCACGACCCGAAAGAGAGCCTAGGCACAGAGCGCCGCCATGGAGCCCGGAAAGCCATTTGGAGTCGAAGTTGGTGACCTTCGAGGGTGACACAGTGTCCTGCGCTCGATTGCTGGCAAGTTGCTCGGCCATAGCGGCTGTTTCAACATAACCCGCCCTCGTAGGTTGACTGACTGAGAAGCGGTGCGAGAAGGCCCCAATTGGCCCAAGCTATATACATATCAATATATGTATATATATATATATATATATCTACATACACTAAACGCATCTCAATTCAGCAAGCCAGGGAGCAGTGAGAGACAGATAGACAACGCCTGCTTTTCTGTGGGTCAGTTAGATCAGTTAGTGTGTCTTTTGTTGGGAATCTTCTATGTGTCTCCGGTTTGTCAATGTGCATTTGTTTTTAAGGGTTTGAGCTGTGCTAGAGTTGTGTTCAAACTCAGATTCGGGCCTTCGCGTGGCCATGCTGAATTTTGCCCACGGCTACAACTGCGGCGGCGGTCGGGGCACCTGTTCTGTGCAGTTGATAGTAACGGCTAGGCCCAATATCACCATCAGGTATATGATTAGCAACTTGCTGCCATGGATAGCACCCCGAACCCTGGGGAACAGCCTTTGGTCAGGTACTTATGCTATCCATGAGACCTTACTAGTTACTAGAGCAAAGTCTTCAGTAGAGTTCTTTTCGTCTATCTTATTTTCTTTCTTGTTTGTGACTTGAGATGGTTATTTCTTTCTTTCTTTCTGTTCTTTGTCTTCTCTTGCAAAAGCAAGTTCTAGCAAGAGGACAACTGACAACCAACATGTTTGCTGTGACGATGCGCAGAGGCTTCGAGCATGCAGGTGGGAGCCAAGAGGAGGCCATCTTCAGAGCCACTTCTGTAGCTCAGCTAGGGCAGCTAGGGCCATGACATAGTTAAGTGATGCATTCATATTTTCTTGTCCATGTTTAGTGAAGCCTTCGTCGCTGGGGCAACGTATGCTTCTCAGAATCACATTGAGTCAAATGTTGGGTGAACATGCACGAACATGCTTCAGTTCATGTTGCACGAACTGTGCTTCAGTTGGTGCTTCTTTGCCTCTGGTGTTTTGATGTGTTTCGTGTCAGGTGTTGGGCCCCTGAACTAGCTCCCGCAGGTTGTTGAGAATCATCCCTTTTGACGAACATACACCATTCCAATGCTGATCCCTCCCCCAGGGGGAACAGTACGGAGAGTGGAGCCACCAGCAGTGCAAACCAGATAAACGCGGGATTATGTGGCTGTGCTGCCTAGGTACGAGTCTTGAATTTCCTTCCCTGAACAATCCAGCCTAAA